CTATATTGGAGAAATCAAAATCAAACGACTGTCATTGCCCAACAGTAATGTTACATATCAACACGCGTTTATGTCCAGCACAATTTAGGGGTTCATCTTAGCGCGAAGTGCTAGAGTCACTGATACACAGCGTAAAATTTATTGCATTCATACTCATCACATTTCTCATTATCGCTGAAACGATCGTTATCAATTAGCATCATCTAGCACTTTACCAGTCAGGACAACTCCTTGTTTTGGATGAACTGGCTCACAGCATGGAACACCTGTGGTGCACGCCACTGCGCAGCCATGTGCCCCGCACCTCGTACCGTCAGAAATGTTAGATTTGCAGATGCTGTTTGGTACAAAGTTTTGAAACCAGCGTGTCCATCGACGTGCCAGTTTTGCTTCTCTCTTCCGGACATCTGCAAAATAAGTAGTCAGCATTTCGTTTTTATCTAATTAATCATACAGGACTCAAAATGTATCTAAGAAGCAGCACACTGCTTTCAGCTTAGCGCGAAAATGCAAAATTGTACACCCCGATGCGCGATTGTTGCCTGGATTTTTAATATGCAACATAATTTAGTATCCTTTACTTGAGAAGTAATTGGGGTCGTAATAGGAAAGAAGGGATAAACCGGTGCACCCGCACTAGCACGCAAGGCCTAGTCCAATTGCACATCAGTGGCGTCAGATTTCTATACTGACCTTTAGGACAGTCTGGCGACTCCGAGAATTGACAGTTTTCAACCAACCTTCAAATTGAGCTTGTATGCGAAGCGTTGACCCATTAGGAAATTGCATACCAAATCGGTATCTCCGTAATAAAGTAGTATGGAAAATTTTTTTGACATGAGCCATTTAAATGTTGCAGACATATCATCGTACTCCTTCTTATAGCTTTTTGTAACCTGTGAATAGCTACTGGAATTTGAATTGAAAAAAAAAAGTCACATATGAGCAAAAGCATGAGTGTGCCTATATTTCGCTACTGTGCTATAAGTAAATACGCATGAAATTTTTGATTTTTATGCGAATGTACAATTAATTACACTGTACGGTTATTAGAGATGCCACTGGTCTCATGGCAATTAAGCGGTGTCCAGCTTTTTTTCTGAGTCAGAAAAAATCAAGCAGCGAATGCCGGGAAGAAGAATAAGGTTGATCATGTGACATGAATGAGAGGCAACAGATAGTGAGCAAAATGTACTGAATGGTACCTACATGATGTTGAATAAACTGAATAAAACGAAAGGCTGTCCTGTGCGCCTGGAAGAATTATGCGAATGGGAAAGGTTGAAAACGAGAAGCTGAAGAGTTAAAAGTTTTAGCAGTTGCGAAAAGGAGCGAATAAAATGAAATAATAGCTGATGAAAGTATCAGGGCAAGTAGGTCCGTGTGCCTTTTGTAATTTAATAAAAACTCGCATGCCTGCATATTGCACATCTTCCAGGTCTGTTTTACATCTCCAGGTATGTGCAAAGCTTTGCGAACTTTTTTGCTGTTCATATAATTTGTGATCACCGAGTCATTGATACAGCTTTTCCCGTACAGTACAGCATTTTTCTGAAACACGTTGACAAAACCAGTTATTTTTTTCAAAGACGGATTTGAAAAATTTTTTGATAGAAACTTTTTCAGCACTTTCAAAAAAATTGTGTCGCCCAAGTAGGAAATTTTGAAATTTGCATTGTCATAACTCAAAAATTTCAAGTGGCCATACATGAGAACCATGCGTACCTGGAAATTAAATTTGAAAGTTTTGGTTCGAACGTGACAGGAAGTATCTCACAAAAATTACAGCTTCCTGCATGCCTAGTTCCTAAATTAGCAATTTGAGTCATGGCTCGAAAATTCTTATATACCCGCACAGTCTTTCTACACTTCCGAGAAAGATATGCAAGAAACACATTTTTGAGCTACATAAATACAATCAGTATGCGTTGCCTGTACGATGCACGCATGCTGCCTTTTTATGGGGGGTCTCAATTCCATTTTTTGGCAATAAAGATGATGACAGCAATAATATTACTTAATAATAACAATGACAATGCTGCTATTAATTATAATAAAGGATAACCAGTGCTAAAATATGTTAGCAGAGACGCCTCTTTCTGCTACTTCTCATTGGTGGAAAGAAAAAAACTGAGGTAAATCAGTGGCTTCTAAGAAATTTATATTATCATCCAGTCTGCACTAGTTTTTGAGGCGAGCATGTGCCTGTGCATCGCGCACATTTTGCTTGTTAATAGCCCCTTTTGTAAATAAATAGAACCGAATGCAGAAGAATAATCGAATTTCTAAGTTACACTAAGTTCAACGTGATGCTTTACCATGGCATTGTTGGCCTATTTTCTTTTGAAAATTAGTAAAATAAAGGAGAGTATTATGTGTAGCATGTGTAAGCAGACAAGTTTGGATGCAGACTGCTGGAGGCAAAATTTTATGCGTTTTTACTGTGCAGCACTATAGCGCTGCTGCTGTAAGCAAAAATGCATGTTGGCAAGGAGCTATCTGCGAATGTGTACGTATGTGTGTGTGTGTGTCTATGTGTGTCTGTGTGTTTGTGCATTCGCTTTTTTTGTCACTCACTCACAGAGAAGCTAGAAAGTTGAAACATCGGGAGCATGTGCCCATTCCCTGTGCTACCTTCCCATTAATATCGTACATGCCTTGGTTCCACGTACAGATGCCACAAAAAAAATATGCAGAGTTTTTAGTAGAAAACTGCTAACTCCGAAACCAGAAAAGCTGGGTAGCTGACATTTTAAGGGGATGTCCCTCATACACCTACATCTTCAAGATTCCAAATTCATTACCCGGGTACGTGCAGTACTCACATACGGGCATGGGAATGTTTTGGAAGAAGGACTGGTCAATGAACAGCTAGGTCTTTTTCAAGAAACGACCGTTAAAAGGAAATTACTCACTTTCCTTTAAGCAAAATTTACTACGATTTACGCTGATGAGCACACAAAGTAAATAGAAAGCAGCAACCATTCATACACTTAATGATACTGCTTGCTTCAAATCTAATGCAAAAGCGCATGATCGCAATGTCAAACCTAAGCGTTCTAGCCTGGGGTTTCCTTTCTTCGTAAGATTTGAGCAAACAACGCTTTTGTGGAAAATCGAATGACGAGGAGAAGCAAAGACGTTAGTTTAGGTTTACAAGTGGCTAACCATAAATTTATTACGCCTTCACTTACCTCTGCCGGACCAAGGAACTTATAGCCAACGAGATTAAGTCCCGACTTCTCTGTCTGGAGCTGCAGATTTGCCGAATTCGGGATACAATCACGA